TTTCTACAAACAGCAGTTTAAAAAAAAAATTATTAAACATCTATTACCTTTTTATGTAAATTTGATTGCAAGTGTCTTTGATAATGCATTTTAGTATAATATCTACCACATTCACATTGCAAACGCTTACAATTTGTATAGATTTTACATTGTTTACATCTTCTATCAGGAATTTTGTACTCATAAAATTCACCTGGATGTTTAAATTCTAAAGAGACTGAACACCAAATGTCATCCATTTATTTAAGAAAATATATTTTCAATGCTTTTAGCTAGAGAATTTTATTCTCATGCTCTTTAAATTGAGAATTCATGTTCCTAATCATAATTCTTTCAAACTCATTGGTTGCAGAGTCTTCTGATCTGTATAAACCATTGTTTCTCAACGGGGGCGATACCGCCCCCCTGGGGGCGTTGGGAGTATGCTGAGGGGCGGTGAACTTGTTTTGGGCAGTAGGGGGGCGTTGGGTATGTTTTGGGCAGTAAGGGGGCAATGAGCATGTTTTGTCATTCAAATTTCATTTTGAAACTTACAAATAAAATTACAAATTAAATTATATTTATTTAATAAATAAAATTAATCTAAAATTAATATTAAAGAAAAAAAATGAAATTAATATAATAAATTAAGATTATCCGATACACCTTTTGTATCACAAATAAAACGAACTTATACGACACCTACTCTCCGATCCGAACCAACACAGCGCAGCGCATGAGTCAAAAGTTTTTGCCTCTGATTCATTCAAGCTATTTCGCGAATGGCTCTGAAACATTCATACCATTTGGCGGAAATCAAAGTTCATGAGCTTTCGATATGAATGTTTGATTTGACCTGTGTTTCTTATGATGATTTTCGTTATCGTCGATTCGATCGATTCGTCGTTCGATTCGTCGATTCGATCTCATTGTTTATTTAGCCAGGTATGTCCGCGAATTAGTTCTTTACCATAAATTATTTATTAATTTAGAGAAATAGTTTATTTTCTACCATCGTTTGTGTTTACTGCCACCAACAATGTCATTTAACAAAAAAAAAGTGTCATCTATACCATGCCACGTACTTGAAGTTTGGATTTGTGCAATCTATGTTGAACTCTCAACTGCCCATGTGTTTACTCTGTAACAAAGTTTTATCTTATGAGACAATGCAATCTTTCCGTTAGCAGGGGCATTTGCAAAGAACTCATCCTAACAAACAAAATAAAAATTTCAAATGCAAGTTTCTGAAGGCACCTTCGGTCTCAGGGTTGATAGCAACCTCATCACAAAAATGCGACGATGGTTTGATAGCTTATAATAGTGCTAATTCTGGGAAAGCTCATACCATCGGCTCAGAGTTGATACTGTCGGTTGTCAAAGAAGTTTTAGAAACAGCTTTATACCATCCAGCTGCATCCAATGTAATCAAAAATATCCCTTTAAGCAACGATACAGTGCGGGAACGAAATTATGAGATGGCTGAAGACGTTGAAGTTTCTTTATGCAAACCTTTGATATCCAGCGAATTTTCCCTTCAAGTTGATGAATCAACGTTACCATGCAATGTAGGTTTTACTGTAGGCGTAGGTACGGTTTGTAAAGATAGGAAAAAGTATTCTCTAGATGCTTTTTACAAAAAGCTTGATTGTAGATACCAAAGGTAAATATATATATATACCATTTGGGCCTAATATATATTATTTTATATTAAACGTTTGCTTACCATTTCGAGAACACCGGTATCACATATTCGTGCCTAGGATTTAAAAGATGTTTATTATATATTATGCAGCTAAATTAATGTTTATTTTAGACACATTAAAGGTTTCATGTATTGTTTTTCTAATTGTGTTTCTCACCTTAATTTTTCCATATTGGTAATTTTTGGTCTTATGTTTCAAATCACTTTTATTTCTTCTCATTCATGTCATGCAAGTCTTTTATTTTTTTTAAGCTCTTGAAGCATGTCAACTGTTAATTCCTGTTTATATATTTTGGAAGCAAATAAATTTTTTATCAGGTACATAATACCACTAATTCCTTTACACGTTCACCGATTTGCTTTATTTTTCCCTGATCAGCTATGTCAAGAGACATTTTAAAATATGATTTCGTACTCTAAAATAAGAAAATCAATGTTATCGAAGTAACGGAAAAAAATCAAATGATTTATCAAAAAGAAACATATAAATGTGAACATAACATTTCGTAAAATTAATAAAAGTACGAACGGTCACCGTAAAGTATAATCTTAAATGATAAGTTGTACGCGTTTCCCTCTGTTTGACTGACACCAATCTGAATGAAATTGGCTATTCGCTACTCGCTTTATAGTCCATTTTTTATACTGTTTTTCCTTTTTATTTTATTTTATTTTCTGTTTTTGCATGTGATTTTATTTTTTTTTTTACTTTTTGTGTTCTATTTTATTCGTTGTAATTTTTGTAAAAAAATTTTTTGAGTGCTCCTCACACTATTGTATTAATATATATTTTCCTTTGGCTTCATTGATACAATATCAGAAAGCACTCTGTTTTGCGGATATAATCGTGTGGGCTGATAAAAAGATTATATCTTTTTTTCCGGGTTTTTTTTAAAATAAAATATTTTTTCTTTTTTTGAACTGTTGTTTGTTATTTTTTTACTTATTACCCCCCCCCTTTTTTTCTCATATGTCTATAATTTGTCTTTGTTTTATCTTCATTTTGAACTTATCTAGAGAGTTCTGTTTGTTTGCAGCTTATGCGCAATAAATGAAACT